GAGGACCGGGCACCGCCGCCCCGCGCCGCGGCTTCCAGCCACTGCGTGTGCGTCCGGACCCTGGAGCCCGGCGGGGAGGCCGGCACCAGCCTGGGCCGCACCCGCATCCTTCTGCACCACTGCCCCCCTTTCAGGCTGCTGGCCTCCCGCAAGGACCTCTTCCTGGTGCCCGCGGCCACCACCTTGCCCGGCGTGAGCCACCTTCTGCTCATCTGGAGCCCAGGCAAGGGGAAGGTGACGGTGGCCGCCCCAAGCCTTCGCCTCTCTTACAGTAAGAGCCTGAATCCTGGACGAGGGGACACGTGGGACTTCCGGACCCTGCTCCGAGGTCTTCCTGGGCTGCTATCCCCCAGGCAGCCATGGGCTGTCCATACCTGGGCCCCAACTCCCCAGGGCCTGCTGTGGCTTGACTTCCGGGGCACTGTGAGCCTGGTGCAGCCCCACGGCGGCACCCGGGCTGTGGGCACCTTGCAGGAGGCCCCTGTAGGCCTCGCAGAGTCTGCAGCCCTGGGAACGTTTCATGGCACGCTAGCCTGTGTGCTGGGCTCCACGTTGGAACTGCTGGACATGGGCAGCGGGCAGCTGCTGGAGAGGAAGGTCCTCAGTACAGACCGAGTCCATTTGCTGGAACCCCTAGCGCCTGGCACAAAGGGTGAGGAAGAGACGGAGCCCCGAGGAGGGGGTCTTCGTTTGCTTTCAGCCTTGGGTCTGTTTCAGGTAGTATGGGAAGCCCCGCCGACGCTTGAGCTGCCTTCGGCTGAAGACCTGGTGTTTGAGGAAGCCTGCGAGTACTACCAACGGCGGAGCCTGCGGGGCGCCCAGCTCACCCCAGAGGAACTGAGACAGAACAACGTCTTCCGGGCACCTCAGGCCCTGGCCTCCATCCTCCAGGGCCACGTGTCCCCATCTACCCTGCTGACCACCTTGAGGGCCGAGCTCCGCGATTACCGGAGCTTAGAGCAGCTCAAAGCCCAGCTGGTGGCTGGGGATGAGGAGGAGGCTGGCTGGACGGAGCTGGCAGAGCAGGAAGTGGCACGGCTGCTAAGGACTGAGTTGATAGGAGACCAGCTGGCCCAGCTCAACACCATTTTCCAAGCCCTTCCTACAGCAGCCTGGGGTGCCATCCTCAGGGCTCTGCAGCTCCAACCGGATGGGAATGGCAGGTTGAGGTCCCAAGCTCCCGCTGATGTGTGGAAGAAGGTCCTAGGGGGCACAGCAGTTGGAAAGGACCCCCCCAATGGGGCACTGCCCCTCTTCGAACTGCTGTGCCAGTGCCTCTGCCAGCTGGAGCCACGATGGCTGCCACCCTTTGTGGAGCTGGCACAGCAGCAGGGTGGGCCTGGTTGGGGGGCCGGGAGCCCAGGGCTTCCCCTGTATCGCCGAGCCCTGGCAGTACTAGGTGAGGAGGGGACCAGGCCTGAGGCACTAGAGCTAGAGTTGCTTTTGGGCAGTGGGCGGCCCAAAGCTGTGCTCCAGGCTGTGGGGCAGCTGGTGAAAAAGGGGCAGTGGGAGCGGGCCCTAGAGTCTGGCTTAGCCCTCGGCCCCTCCAGCCCCCTACTTCGAAGTGAGATCTTCAAACTGCTGTTGGCCGAGTTTGCTCGGCACCGCCAGCTCGATGCTCACCTCCCCCTCCTGTGCCGCCTGTGCCCACCAGACCTAGCTCCAGCTGAGCTCCTGTTGCTACTGCACACACATCTCCCCGATGAGTCGGAGCCCCCTAGCCCATTCCCTGAGCCTGGAGCAGAACCCCCTCTCACTGTGGGCTTGCTCAGAGCTCTGCTGGAGCAGACTGGGGCTAAAAGACAGTCCTCAGGCCCAGTTCTAAGCCTGTATGAGGACATCCTCTGGGACCCAGGCACTCCGCCCCCTACCCCACCTCGGGGACCTATGACTACCCTCCAGGCGTCAGACCACCCAGGGCCAGGGGCCTGGGCTCCATCTGGACAGGACCTCTGTGTGACTGACACAGGCTGAAAATCCTTTCTGTGACTAGAGAAGGATGCCTAGGAGTTGGAGAGGGCCAGGGTGGGACCAGTTTGTGCAATACTCTTCTCACTTCTGGAGCAATGTAAAAATATATACATATGTGTGTGTATGTTAAATATTGTGGTATAATAAATATGTTTGGTCTTCATCCTCAGGTTTTTGTTCTGGTACAGAGCTCTCCTAAAACCCCTGGACTTTCCTGAGTGATAGGAACCTCTTTTGTTGTTCATATCGAGCTCCTTTAGATCACACCTGCCTGTCTGCTAATGAGGGTGTGGCCCGCAGCCTCTGAGGGGGCTGGTTACCAGAAAGGCCAAGTGTTGAGAGGACTGGAACTTTCAGCCCCATTTCCAATCTCCTGGGGAGGCAGTGGGTTAGAGATTGAGCTCTGTCTATAAAAACTGCCGAACAAGGAAATTTGAGCTTTTAGCTTGATGACTGCATCAAGGTGCTGGGAGGATGACACCTAGAGAGGGCATGAAAATGACAGGCACACACATCCATCCTGTGCCTGCCCTCTCTGCATCTCTTCCCTCTGGCTTTTCCTGAGTTGTATTTCCCAGAGTTCTGTGAGTTATTCTAGCAAATTATCAAACCAACTTATAAGATGGGAATTCCGCCGAGACCAGTTTGGCTCAGTGGATAGAACGTCGGCCTGTGGACTGAAAGGTCCCAGGTTTGATTCTGGTTAAGGGCATGTACCTTGGTTGTGGGCACATCCCCAGTAGGGGGGTGCAAGAGGCAACTGATCAATGTCTCTCTCTCATCGATGTTTCCTCTCTCTTCTCTCTGTAAAAAATCAATGAAAATATATATATTAAAAAAAAAAAAAAAAGATGGGAATTCCACCAGTTCCTTGCAACTGGCATTAAAAAAAAAAAAAAAAAAAAGTCTATATCATTCATGCCCAGACAGTGTGGCTCAGTGATGAGTGTCAACCTATAAACCAGGAGGTCACGGTTTGACCCCCAGTGGGGGGCATGCAGGAAGGAGGCAGCTAATCAATGATTCTCTCGTCACTCTCATCACAAAGATGTTTCTTTTTCCCTCTCCCTTCCTCTCTCTGAAATAAATAAAAACATTTTTTAAAATTTTTATCATTTTAGCCCTGGCCTAAATCTTTATCAATTAGGCATCTTGCCATGGACAAAAAGGTTGCTGGGTCAAATCCCAGTCAGGGCACATGCACGTTACTGGCATTTGAAAAGGGCGCAGTCTCGCTGGACTGAGCCCTTACCCTGTGAGACCTGAACTGATGCCAGGTAGTTAGTGTCAGAATTGAATTGACTTGTAGGACACCCAATTGTGTGTGTGTTGTGTGTGTGTTCTACAAGAGAACTGATTGTTGATGTTGGAAAATACTCCAGAATTATAAACACAGCTTGTATCGGGTCTAGTAATACTTAATGTCGTTTTTAAACATTCGTTTAAAATCTTGCTTGGCGTTGACTTGTATTGACATAACCTTCAAACACGTGGTATCTACAGAACGTGTGAAGTGCAATTAACAAGTTTTGCTTGAAAAAGTTTGTGTTTGGTTTGGTTTTTGTTGCAAAACTAGGGCTAAGAAGATGGTGGATGAAGAGCTTATTCGGCACTGCATGCTTTACGAGTTCCAATTAGGAAGAAAAGCAAGTGAGGCTGCAAAAAACATCTGTAGTGCTCTTGGTCAAGATGCAGTTAGTGCCAGAAAATGCCAGCATTGGTTTGAGAAATTTCGCGAGGGAAATTTTTTGTTAGATGACAAGAGTGGTCGAGGCCGTGTGTCCAATTTTGATCAAGAAGCTCTTCAAGCTCTTTTGGTGCAAAATCCTCAAATTACCCAACAAGAGCTTGCGACAACTTTAAATTGTTCACAAAAAACAATTTCCAATCAATTGCGTGCACTTGGCAAAGTCCAAAAGTTTGGAAAATGGGTTCCTCATGAGTTGACCGACAACAACCGCAATCAAAGAGTCACAATTTGCAGTTCGCTCCTCTCTCGTCAAAACCGTTTGCCGTTTTTAGAGCAAATTGTTACCGGAGATGAAAAATGGGTGCTATATGTTAATTTGAAAAGGTGGCCTCAATGGTTGGACAAAAATGAGGCTCCGCAGCCCACGCCAAAACCTGACTTGCATGCGAAAAAGTGATGTTGTGTGTTTGGTGGAATTTTAAAGGAATTCTTCATTATGAACTTTTACCATCTAACCAAACCATTACAAGTGCAGTGTATAGTGCCCAATTGGAAAGGTTAGCCCAAGCTTTAAGAGAAAAAGAACCCGCGCTGATTAATCGGAAGGGTATAATTCTTCACCACGATAACGCACGACCGCATACTGCAAGAATCACTGCTGAAAAACTGCGCCAGTTGGAATGGGAAGTTCTCCCTCAACCTGCATATTCTCCTGATATTGCTCCTTCCGATTACCATTTGTTTTGTTCTTTGCAAAACTTTCTTCTTGGAAAAAAATTTAATAATGAAGAATGCCTCAAAAATGCATTGACCGAATTTTTTGCATCAAAATCACAAGAATTTTACAACAGAGGGATTAAAATGCTTCCTGAGCGTTGGGCACAAGTAGTAGAAAACAACTGCAACTATATTGTTGATTAAATTTTGTTGTATTGTTTAAATAAATTCGATTTAAAAAAAGTATTAGAAAACGACATTAATTATTACTAGAACTAATACATGCAGATTTTTTTAAAATATGTTTTACAGAGAGAGGAAGGGAGAGGGAGAGAGATAGAAACATCTATTGGCTTCCTCCTACATATCCCCTTCTGGGATCAAGCCTGCAACCTGGGCATGTGCCCTGACCGGGAATCGAACCAGCAACCTTGTGCATGGGCCAGTACTCAACTAACTGAGCCACTCTGGCCAGGGCAGTTGGTGTGTTTTTGAATAGCTAAAGATATCAGAGGGTTGTGGGTTATAGAGGGAGTTGTTGATCCTAAATCTGTTAACTAAAGTGGCCATTTTCAATCATGAAAATAATTAACACTTATAAACATTTAATATGCTGGTTTTTTGATAATTCCTCATTTGGAGACAAGATGGCAGGCTCGTAGTGAGCAGACATCAAGGGATGAAAATAGGTATGCCTAGAAGCAAATTTTAAAAGCATTTTCTCTTTAAATCTTTTTCTATACCACTTGATAAGCATCTTGATTCACCATGGCTGTATCAGCAGTGAAATGGGCAATATCAAACAGAACTATTTTGAAACATTTATTTCTAATCCAAAATGGAGCTTTATATTGTGTTAGTCATAAATCCACATACTCTTCTCTTCCAGATGACTACAATTGCAAAGAAGAACTTGTTTTTACATCTGATGGCAGGACGATAGTTTGCTATCATCCTTCTGTGGATATTCCATATGAAAACACTAAGCCTATCCCTCAGCCAAATCCTATGCATAATTATGAAGAAACACAGGATCAAATACTGAAAACCAGATTAGAAGAAAAAGATTAACACTTTGAGCAAGGACCATGATAGAACAACTTAGCAAAATGTTCTTTACTACTAAGCACCGTTGGTATTTTTATGGACAGTATCATACACGTCGTAGAAAATTGAATCCTCCAAAAGACAGATGATATTGAGGTTTTCGAAAGTAAAATGCTGTCCTGTTCTCATTTTCCATTTGAAAAAATGCAATCAGGCCGAAACCGGTTTGGCTCAGTGGTAGAGCGTCGGTCTGAGGACTGAAAGGTCCCGGGTTCGATTCCGGTCAGTGGCATGTACGTTGGTTGCGGGCACATCCCCGGTAGGGGTGTGTGCAGGAGGCAGCTGGTCGATGTTTCTCTCTCATCGATGTTTCTAGCTCTCTAGCCTTCTCCCTTCCTCTCTGTAAAAAATCAATAAAATATACATTTAAAAAAAAAAGAAAAAATGCAATCAGATATATTCACTGCTATGTTATATAGTAAAATAATAATAAAATGTCTTTTCATCTAAAAAAATTAATTAAATACTCATTTAATACTTCTGATAACCCCAGCAGGAAAGTAATAATAGTATCCCTATTTTACAGGTGATGAAATGCATTTAGAAATAGGAAATAAGGTTTAGAAAGATTATTGAGATCAGTCAACTAAAAGGTAGCAATTCTTTTTTTATAATATATGTTTGTTACTGATTTCAGAGAGGAAGCGAGAGGGAGAGAGAAATAGGAACGTCAAGGATGAGAGAAAAAGATTGGCTGCCTTCTGCGCACCCGTACTGGGGGTTGAGCCCACAACCAGGACATGTGTCCTTGACCAGAATCCAACTCAGGACCCTTTAGTCCACAGGCTGACATTCTATCCACAGAACCAAACCAGCCAGGGCAATGTTTATTTGTTTTTAAAGTATTTTTTTTATCGATTTTAGAGAGGAAGAGAGAGTTAAAAACATCAATCAGCTGCCTCCTGCATGACCCCCACTGGGGATTAAGCCCACAACCCAGGCATGTATCTTGACTGGGAATTGAACCGGCAACTTGGTGCGTGGGATGACATTCAACCAACTGAGCCTCACTGTATGTGCTAAACTCCATGTTGAATACAGCTATCAGGAACTTTCCTTAGGAAGTGTTCAGATGTGCCAGAATTTGATTCACACTGACCTGGGTGGTCAGGGGAAGACAGGGCGCTTCAAAGAATGGGAAAGAAGGAGACCCCCACCCCCAGCTCCATAGGGAGCCACCCCAGGCCGGAATGCCTGACACTTCCTGGAGAGAAGGGAAGAAGAAACCTTGAAGTGGCTCTTCAAGTCTCCACTTATTCTCTTCCTAGGCACAGGCTCCCCCTAGTGGTTCCTCTTGTCACCGCCAGCTGCACCCACTACCTTAAACCTGCAGGCATTTGACCATTTCTGAAGGACAGAGGAAGCCTCTGGAGGTGATAAATTAATGTTCTCGAAGGGTAAGAATGGAGGAAGGGGAAGAACGGTGGGAAGAGGAGGGAAAGGAGAGTGAGGGGTGGTGCCCTGGCCAGTGTGGCTCAGTTGGTTGGGTGTTGTCCTAGCCCTTTTTGAGTTAAAGGTGAATGATGGACAATGATACACAAGGCTAACAAAAGTTGCTGGTTTAATTCCCAGTCAGGGCACATACCCTGGTTGCAGTCTTGATCCCCAGTGTGGGGTGTGTAGGAGGCAGCCAATCAATTATTCCCTCTCATCACTAATATTTTTCTATCTCTTCCTCTCTCTTCCTCTCTCTCCGAAATCAATAAAAACATTTTTTTTAATATATTTTATTGATTTTGTACAGAGAGGAAGGGAGAGATAGAGAGTTAGAAACATCGATGAGAGAGAGTCATCGATCAGCTGCCTCTTGCACACCCCCTACCGGGGATATGCCCGCAACCAAGGTACATGCCCCTGACCGGAATCGAACCCGGGACCTTTCAGTCCCCAAGCCGACGCTCTATCCATTGAGCCAAATCGGTCCCGGCTAAAAACATTTTTTTTTAAGTCACATTCATGGTAGAGGCTGAAACAGCAATTAAGTTTGCCATTTGGGGCTGTTGTCTCTTTCTAACGGTAGCCTTTAATATTTTTTTGTAATAAACTGGCAATCTAGTAAGTAAACTGGGTTTCTTGAGTTTCGTGAGCTGTTCTGGCAAATTAATCAAACAGATGAGGGCGATGTCCCTCCCCCTCATGAGAATGTTCAATGTACAGCCAGTTAGTCAGAAGCACAGGTAACAACCTGGACCTGTGATGGATGTCTGAAGTGGAGGTCTGTCTTGTAAGATGGAAACCTTCACCTGTGGGATCTGAAATGATTCTCCAGGTAGATAGTGTCAGAATCTAGCTGAATTATAGGACACCCAGTTAGTCAGATACTTGCTTAGTGGTGTTGAAGAAAATACAGTGGCAATGGAGGGCAATCCACATTTGAACCCCGGCAAGGGCCTGAAGTCTGGGGGGGGGGGGGGGAGAGGGGGACAGGATAACAAACCACCAGAGCTCCCCCCTGCAGGCTCTTTCCACCTCACCCAGCAAGTTGGATTGGATTTTTCTAATGAGCTTCCATCCACAGAGAGTATTTATATCCCTGTCCTCGCGGGTAGAGGGCGCAGGGTCAGGATACCAGGAATGAGGGAAGGTTTGGGGGAAGAGGGTTTCCTGCCCAGAAATGATCCCTAGGGAGAAGAGCCAGAGAAATGAGGTTGGGTAGGCTGGGGTCAGTCACCTGTGACTGTGATTCCGGGAATCTGACACTCCTGTGGGTGTGACTCGGGCTCTCTGGGAGGCTGGGATTCTGGAGTGGGGGGTGGGATCTGAATCTGGCCCAGAGGGAAATTCCTAGGGTGGAGGGAGAGTTAAGTCCACTCTGTGCTTCGAGGATGAACTTAAGGGAGGAGAGGTTGCACTTGCTATTTCTGAGGGAGTAGCTGCTGTAGGAAATGGCTTCGTATAGCTGCTTATTGTTTACAGACTGCCGATGTTCCAGCTCCTAGGGAGACAAGGCAGAAGGGGAAAGCTAGAATTAGGTTGGGAGGGTAGGAAGGTGGGGGGGGAGGGAGGGTACGGAGGACATACAAGGCCGGGTCAGAAAGTAGAGAGAGGTGAGAATCAGGAAAAGAGGACAGGTGGGAGTGTGGAAGGGTGTAGAAGTTAGGAGGAGATGGATGGAGAGGTAGCGGAGGGGTGGTGGTTAGGAGTGTAAGGGAGTCAGGAGTGAGGAAGAAAATGGAAGATGTGTCAGGGGCAGATGAGAGGAGCAAGGGCATGAGCAGGGGTTGGGTTTGGGAAGTTCTGGGTAATGAAAAGGGGTGTTTTTTGGAGTCATGGGGCCCAGATAGTCAAGGTGGGGAGGGGTCACACAGGTTAGGGTGGGATCTTCCTGAGGAGACCAAGAGGGGCTCCTGAACTAAGGGACCAGCTTTCAGACAGGAGAGGTGGGCACTGGGTAGGGAAGGTCAGCATACAGGAGGAGCTTGGTCATGGCCAGCAGGAAGCAGGTAGGCAGGTTCTGGGGACTGCACGGATGGAGCTTATAGCTTCTGCAGAATTCATACAGGCAGTTATACAGTATGAGGCCAGACAGAAAGAACACCAGAACAAAGATGAGGCAAACAGCATTACGTAGCCAGCCTTATATTTCAAGACCTGGGAGGGGGGCCAGGCAGGAATGTGGCTTTGGACTTCAGCCAAACATCGGTTAGCTACTCACACACCCTATCCTCCCTCCTATGTGTGCAGGACAGGCTGAGGCAGTGACAGGAGTGGCCTCTGAAGGCCGAGGCCGGGCCAGCAAACAGAATTCCCTTTATCTTCTAGCAGCTGTGCCACTAGCAGTCCTTATTTTTTATGCTCTCAGCAAGTTTAGGTCTAGGTGGGGCAGGAGGCAGAGTGGTAAGACAAAATGGACCCAATTCAGCACCTTCTGAGCAAAGGCAGACCCTCTCCTTACACCATCCAGAAAGCACCTTTTTTTTTTTTTACAGAGAGGAGAGAAGAGAGATAGAGAGCCAGAAACGTCGATGAGAGAGAGAAACATCAACCAGCTGCCTCCTGCACACCCCCCACCGGGGATGTGCCCGCAACCAAGGTACATACCCCTGACCAGAACCGAACCCGGGACCCCTCAGTCCGCAGACCAACGCTCTACCACTGAGCCAAACCGGCTTAGGCCAGAAAGCATCTTGACATACTGACATGGGACAGGAAGGCTCTTATGGGACTCTCTGCCTGTTATACTACCCTACTTGTTTTGCAGTTTCTTAGTTCCTAACTCTCCATTCCTCTACTCCAGTCCTCCCACGCATCCTGCTTCAGAGGCCCATCCATTCCCATCCCTGTGAGTTTCAGAGCACCCCCTTAGGCAACCTCCTGGCAGTGAGCTGGCTGGAAGAGGGGAGATGAAGAGACTATTTATGTACTTTCTCAACTCTATTATTAACTCATCCTCCTAACAATCCTATAAGACAGGTGCTGTTATTATCCCCATTTTAGAGATGAGGAAACAAGCTCAAAGAGATGAAGTGACTAGCCGAAACCGGTTTGGCTCAGTGGATAGAGCGTCAGCCTGCGGACTGAAGGGTCCCATGTTCGATTCTGGTCAAGGGCATGTACCTTGGTTGTGGACACATCCCCAGTGGGGGGTGTGCAGGAGGCAGCTGATCGATGTTTCTCTCTCATCAATGTTTGTAACTTTCCATTCCTCTCACTTCCTCTCTGTAAAAAATCAATAAAATATATTTTAAAAAAGAGAGAGAGAGAGAGAGATTAAATGACCTGTTCAGAGTTACCCACTTATAAAAGGTGGAGCCAGGGATTCGAAGTGGGCATCTATGGCAAGAACCCACGCTCTGAACCACTGTGCTGTGGTGACTCCCAGGACCCTCATTTCATTTGATATATAGTAGTATATTGATTTCAGAGAGGAAGGGAGGGGGAGTTAGAAACATCAATGAGGAGAATCCTTGATCAGCTGCCTCCTGCACGCCCCCTAGAGGGGATCGAGTCCACAACTCAGCCAGGGCCTCTGACTGGAATCGAACCCCGGACTCTTCAGTCCGCAGGTCAGCACTCTATCCCCTGAGCTAGGCAGGGATCCTCATTTCAGTTCACAACACCAGTGCCCTCTCAGTTCTTCCAAATGCCAACATTGCCTTTCATC